TCATCGAATTCAGCATAACCTCATTGCCTTAATATACACTATCCATTGTGGATAGTAGTAAGGCATAGTAAGCCTATATTTTATTGGGTCTATCACACTTATTGATCATAATCCACATGTCCATAGATCCTTCCTACTTTCCCAAGGTTTCTATAGAGGGACTATGTCATCTTAGGGGTGACAAGCATTTTCCATGGGAAGCTCCACTGGAACCAATGGATTGGTTGAATAATTTTACAAGAAACCCCTATATTTCATAAGAAAATCCATAGTTTCCTATAGATTTGCACTGTTTATAAACTATAAATATGTGTCGATGAATATTCAAATTGACCATGGCCATATACCAATCCACTGTTTATTATCAATTTGAATCTTCATCGACACATCAATGACTGATAGAGCCTGCTCATGAACTTTAGGAGATTCGGGATGAGGACCTGTCTCCACAATTGGTTCTGACTAACCCCTAGAAAACCAACATGGAATGATTGCTATTAATACTACGATTGGATTGATCATTACCATTGATCATATGGTAATCCACCATTGGATTTGAGATACTTTGAATTTGATCATCTTTCAGATTTGCAGTCTCCAAGTTTCACCATTCTCCATGTTGCATCCACCCCCAAACCTTCCAGGCATTTCCAGCCCCCTAAAGGCGCAGACCTCTGCAAGGTGTACAGGGTTGACAACCACTCCTGGCAAATCGTGCGGAGTCACGGGTCGGCCCAAAAACATGCAAGAACTAAGATCTTAAAAATCGGCAAACGTTCGTAAAAAATTCATGTGTATATCTATATATATATATAGAGCAAATGCCTGAGCTTTGCCCGGACCCGCAATGACGACAGACGATGCATCATCATCGTCATCATCATCATCATCAAACCCTTATTGAAGATCTTCAATGAATGTAGAAGTTTAACAGGGGTGGAAGAATTAAACCCTTATCGAAGATCTTCAATGAATGTAAAAGTTTTAACGGGGGTGGGAGAATAAAACCCTTTATCGAAGATCTTCAATGAATGTAGAAGTTTAACGGGAGTGGAAGAATTAAAACGTTTTAAAGATATTCAATGAATGTAGAAGTTTAACGGGGGTGGGAGAATTAAACCCTTATTGAATATATTCAATGAATGTAGAAGTTTAACGGGGGTGGGAGAATTAAACCTTTATTAAAGATCTTCAATGAATGTAGAAGTTTAACTTGGGTGGGAGAATTAAACCCTTATTGAAGATACTCAATGAATATAGAAGTTTTAACGGGGGGTGGGAGAATTAACACGTTTTAAAGATCTTCCATGAATGTAGAAGTTTAACTTGGGTGGGAGAATTAAAGCCTTATTGAAGATCTTCAATGAATGTGAAGTTTAAAGGTGGTGGAACTTTAATATTCCCTCATACCTTTGCTGATCTTCCCAAGTGAATGTAAAGTTTAACGAGGGTGGGGAATTTAATATTCCCTAGTACCTTTGTTGATCTTCCCAATTGAATGTAAAGTTTAACGAGGGTGGGGAATTTAATATTCCCTAGTACCTTTGTTGATCTTCCCAATTGAATGTAAAGTTTAACGGGGGTGAGAGTTTTATATTCCCCTTTGTTGATCTTCCCAATTGAATGTAAAGTTTAACGGGGTGGTAGCTTAATATTCCCTAGTACCTTTGTTGATCTTCACAATTGAATGTAAAGTTTACCGGGGGTGGAAGTTTAATATTCCCTAGTACCTTTGTTGCATTTCCCATAGGAATTTAAGGTTTAACAGTTTAACGGGGGGTGGGAGTTTAATATTCCCTAGTACGTTTGTTGTTTTTCCCAAAGCAATTTGGTGAAATTGCATCAACATTTGTTTGGGAATGGGAAACCTCTACGCTGCAACGCCTGGGCAAAGCCCAGGCGTTGCGCGTATATATATATATATACATATATATATATGTATGTATGTAAGTATGTAAGTATGTAAGTAAGTACGTAAGTATGTATGTATGTAAGAATGTATGTATGCATGTAAGTATGTATGTATATATATAAAAAGAAATGTACGTATGTATGTATGTATGTACATATATATATATATATGTATGTATGTACACTATGTATGTATATATATATATATATATATGTATGTAAGTATGTATGTATGTAAGTATGCATGAATGTATGTATGTATGCATGTATGCATGTCTGCATGTGTATGTATGTATGTATGTATGTATGTATGTATGTATGTATGTATGTATGTATGTATGTATGTATGTGTGTGTGTATGTATGTATGTATGTAAGTAAGTATGTATGTATGTATGTATGTATGTATGTGTGTATGTGCGTATGTCTGTATGTATGTATGTATGTCTGTATGTATGTCTGTATGTCTGTATGTATGTATGTAGTATGTACGTATGTACGTATGTACGTATGTACGTATGTACGTATGTACGTATGTACGTATGTACGTATGTATGTATGTACGTATGTATGTATGTATATATATATATGTATATATATATATGTATATATATGTATATGTGTGTTTTCAAAATATGCCAAAATGTTCAATTCTAGTCATTCTTGGAAACCCTGGGTTGGGTCTATCATCCCGGAATATTTTTGGACAGCAGTCGTGTTGCTTCCCTTTATGATGGAATCCCACCACCATCCCCTAGTGCACCTCCATCGCGCATTGTTTTGCATTGCAAGGTTGGGTCGGTTTGACCCCTGTCTGGATCTGCTTGATCCCTGGTTTTTGTTCCACTGGGCAACAACGGGTCTATTTCATTTGAGACCAGCTGCGTCAGTGATACACCTTCAGGGACTTTGTCGCGCAGCTCCTTGACCTTCTCGCACTTCATGCATCTTTTGGCGCCTGCTGGAGGTATTTTTGAAAGCGACACCTTGACTGACCTTTGTGCAAAGTGCCACCCACATGCTGTCGCCCATTCATTCAGGTCCACTTGCCACGATGCCTTCGTAACGTAGTGGGTGGTTTTCCCTCTTCCCCTCGTGCATGATGTCGCCCACAATGCCAGATCTTCTGGATCACTTGGTATAATGATGGGGGCTGGTGTTCCCGGGGCTGGTGTCCTCGGTGCCGGCGTCATCGGTGCATCCTGCTCCGAGGCGTTCTTGGGCTCTCGTTCGTCTCCCACCAGTTTGTTGGTCCAGCGCTCCATCGATTGTGTGTGGTTCACCAGGGTGCCCTTTGCCTCCTCTTCCGTGGGAGTCATTGCCTTCGCGTTCATTGGCCTCTCTTGCATGGCTTCCTCCATGTATCTGAACACGGCTGAGCTCCTCCATCTCCCGAGGAAGGATATGTCCTGAATGTCCAGCCCCTTTCTCGTGTAGTACATCGCCCCCGATCTCCTTGCGGAGTGGCCCGTCAACTCCTCATGCAGAGCTTTGGCCCAGCACTTTGCTGTATGAGCTCTGGTTCGTTTTGCGCCACCGGTCATCCCAAACAGGTAGTCCTTCGGCTTGCCGTTGGGACGTTCTGCCAGCAGCCTAATTGCCAGCGCCCATGGGCACTCCTTGATGCAGGGCTGCTTTCCGCAACACGCTAGTGTTCTCAACGTGCCCTTTGCTGCCTGGTCCGTCTTGGACTTCCGTATCCTCAGGCCGACCTTGTGCTTTTCAAAGTCGATCTCGACGTCGTTCATCCTGAGCTCCGTTACCTCGCATGCTCTCAGCATCCAGGCTAGTGCCAGCGCGTACATCCACGCCGGCCTCATGTACGATCCCTTCGTGGTGCACTTTTCTTCCCATGTCTTGTCGTCGATGTCCTTAATTTGAAGTTCTCTGGCACGTACTTCTGGTCCACGATGTCTTTTGAGCGCCTTTTTGCACAAGAAGAGTTGTCTCTCGAGTGGCGCAGACCAGTCGTGTCCTGCCTCGATGTGCATCAACTTGAGCTCGTGCACGTATTGGTCCCCCGATTGCAGCTGTGCCTCATCCAGTGCTGTCGAGATGGCTAGTATCACCTCCTGGTTCACCGGGAAATGGTCCTCCCCACAAGTGGCCTTCAGGAGGTCCATGATCTTCCTCCTCTTCGCGTTCTTCGCCAAAAGTGTGGCGCTTGCCAAGAACTTCTTTCGGAAGGTTTCTTTTGCTCTCTTCAGGTCATTCGGCGCCTTCGCCAACTTCAGTGCCTCCTTCATGCCCTGCCTGGACTTGTCGTGCCTATGGGGCTTCCCGTGGCCCTTTCCGTCATCATTCCCAAAACTGACCTGCTCTGGCCCTGTTGTTTGGGCCTCTTCCTTCCCATCTGGGGGCCTCCTCCTGCTCCTGACTTCCATTCTTCCCAGGTCTCTTTGAGTGACCCCGCCTGTCGTGGTGGACTTCTCCTTGGTCTTGTCGTTGGCGAGCTGACTGCTGGCCTCCTTATTTCTTCTTTGTCTAGCCAGCTCATTGTTGACCGCGACGAAATGGCCTGTTCTGAGTAAGCTGTTGGCGTGGAAGTCATGGTGTTCTTCTCCCCTTGCCTTGCCCCCGTGGAACCGCACCTCGCTTTCCCAGGCCACATTTCTTGGGTTTTCCCAGGCCACATTTCTTTCCATCTGCCGCCCATCCATTGACTCAGGCATAGCCGCGGCACACATAGTTTGTAGGATAGACATCCCAGAGTGAACGCCAGGATGAGTGAAGTTGCCCACACCTTCACCCAGGGAACCTTGATCTCGTCGTTCGCCATCGGCAGCACGTTTACGGCCCATTGCGACCGTGGCACAACAGACATCTGTCTGCTGAAGTTGCCCGTCGCTGTCTGACAGGCCGCTAGCTTGGGCCACAGCCCCTGCCGGTGATCTCGATTCCACGTGCTGATCATGCACACGGGAAATCACCGAGCTACTTTTGATTCATAAAATTTTGTCCCCAAATATTTACCGCAGCAACTTCACAAACAAAATGAAATAAAATAATCGTGACAACTTCAAAACTCGTGCATGCAAACCTGTTTGAACCCTCGCACCTGCCTCATTTTCCATGCACTCACAATGTGCATCAAAGATTGTGAAACACCGACACGTTATGTGGCGGCAATCCCTCCCATGGGTGAATCTTGTCCCCTGGAGGTGGTAAGGCAAAATCTTCGGCCGTCACCGGTGCGAGCTGTTTGACACGGATCTTCTTGAGGTTGTCGGGCATGGCTTCGGCTCTGTCGTGAGGTCTGGACAGCCAGTCCGGTTCCAGGTTCATCACTCCCGGGATGTGTTGTGGCACCAAGCGCAGGATGTTGAACTGTTCCAGCGCGATCGCAAGCTCTCCTCCCAGGTGGTTCAGCGCCGGTGTCGAGCTTGCCAATTTTCTTGTCATTGCCAATGCGACCACACTGTCGCTGCGCACAAACACCGCCCGGTCTTGGAGTCGAGTGCGCCACAGTTTCACTGCTCGGAACACTGCCAACGCCTCCAGGATGCCCTGACTGGACGACTCCCCGTGTTCCACGCCCAGCAACGTCGCCTCAGCCAAGGAGAACTTTGCCTCGAACGCTTCCACAAGGAAGACTGCCTTTGTCAGGGTGTCTACATGCACCAAGACTGCTCCCAGTCCCAATGGGGATGCGTCTGTAAGGATGCCCATGGTGACCGGTCTCTCCTGCAACGCGCCTCTCGACGCAGTACAAACTTGTCTGCCTTCGAGAGGATGGCGATCAGCCACTTCACCGTGGCCCCAAAGCGCTTCACTGCCACCAAGCCGTATTTTGGCCTGTTGTCTTGCCGCTTCTGGGCCCTTTCATCTTCTGCACCCATCCGTTCATCCTCTTCAGCATCTTGAAGAACTGCGAACAGCACTGATACCGCCCATCTGAGTCTGGGCAATATTCCGGCGACCCAGCTCAAGCGGCCCGTGGTGCTCCTCAGCTCCCGATGTGAGACCATGCCCTTGGTCTGCCATGACCTCAGCGTGTCCACGATCTCCTCTATCATCTTCTTCGGCGCCGAGTAGGTGATGGACCCATCCAGTGGGCTTTCCGGCCATTGCAGCAACATCTTCACTCCAATCCACTGCACCTGCTGCCCTCTTTCACCTTTCGCCAGGGCAATCTGCACTCCGAAGGCCTTCATCGTGTAGAGGCCCAACGCGATGAGGTTGGCCTTCTCATCATCCGTGCCGTTGATCAACGTCAGCACGTCGTCCACGTAGATTTGCATCTGGCCCTCCGTGGGGGACATCAAGGATTGCCAGAGCCTTCCCACTGCTGCGCTCAGCCTTCCCATCAGCAGTGGTGCCGACTTGAAACCAAACAGCAAGGCCCTGAACAGGATTGCTTGGTTTTCTCTGTTTCCAGGTGCCAGGCAGTTGGAGAGCTCCTCACGGCATACCGGGAAGTGGCAGAAGGCATCCTGCAAGTCAAACATGACGAACTCGGCGCTCCTGTCTTCATTGTCTCCCTCGTTCTTGACGGCCATATCTCTTGCCATTCTCGTCACGTCGACGATGCGAGGAAGCACGATTCTCTCCGGTGTGGTCGTGCGGCTGTTGCCCCCCGACCTGAGAAGGTCGACCACCACTCGGCGCTTCATGCTTCCGTCTGGCTTCTCCTTCAAGATCAGCGCCAGGCGGCTCACCGTGCCCTTGTCGAAGTAAGATTGCACTTCTTCCCAGTCCATCAATATGGCAAAGCCCTTCTCCACATACCTTTGGACTTCGATCTCCGCATCTTCTGGCGCCTCCACAAAAGACTTGTAGTTTGTCAGGTGGGACTGCATCTCGATTTCCGGGCCCTCCTCCATGAATTCCGGGGTGATCTCACCCGTTGTCGGGTATACCCCATTCGACGGAGGGATGGGCACGTTCATGCCCAAAGGGACGCCCTCCTCGGCCCACTCCGCCACGTGGTAGTCCGGGTCGCCCGTCTCCTTGAACCAGGCTCTCCAAAGGTCCACGTTGAGGGGGCTCTTGAACATCAGCTTATCCCTGAGCGTGATGCCGTCCCTCTGCTTCACCCCCAGCAATGTCGACAATCTGACTTGCCACTCCATTGCAATCACCTGGTCAAACTGTGCCTCCGTTGAGCCATACCTCTCCCCCAGCGTCAGAGCTCCTGGTCTCTCGGCCATGAATTCCTCCCAGGCTAGCCTGATCTTCTTGCCCAGGTTCTTCACCTTCCACAGCCTCTTGACCGCTCCCAGCGGGTTTCTCATCCCGCCTACACAGAACTCGTTTTCCGCCTCCCGTCTCTGCTTCTTCGACATGCCTGTCGACGAACTGGGGCCCGTCTCCTTCTCCGGGTCCATGTCAACCATCGCTGTGGGTTTCTTGATCTCCGGCATCACTTCGTCCACGTGTCCCATCTTACGGATGCCCATGGACGCCTGCTTCTCTGAAATTCTTTTCTCTTCGTTTCTCAACCACCCTTCTTTTAAAGTTGAGATCTCCTCTGCCTTCTGCGTCAGCTTCCACCTCCAAAACTCCAACTCCAGGGTTCTCTTCCAAGCTGCGATGTAAAGCTTTGCGACTTCCTCGCACAGCCTGTCCGGATAAACTCCTGCATGAACCGTCACGCTCTTGCCCGTCACGGGGATGTGCCTGACCCATGCTGGGCACCTGCACACTCTGGCTAGAGTGTCCAGGTTCTCCAACCTCCCAACCCATCTCGCCGGCTTGAAGTACCTCTCCTTGCCTGTCATGTAGGAGCAGGTATTGAAGTCCGCAATGCTTGAACCTGTCAGTTCCAACACTTCAGCAACTTCCTGAAGCATCCAAGCACTGCCGGCTGGGCCGTCTTCGTCACCAGGAGGGTTTTCCGCCGTCGCTGCTTGAGGCACCCTTCGGCTCCTTTGTGACAGCGTCTGCTTCTGCATCAGCACCATCGATCTGGTTGCCATGAGGGTTCCATGATCTGCTTCATCCTGCTGGGCTGGGGTGTTGCTGGGCAGCCCATAAGGATGCTCTCTTGACCTTACAGGTCCTGGCATATCATCCCTTTGCACCCACCTCACTCTGCTGAAGCTACCACAGGGGAACCCTGCATGAAACCCATCGTAGTTGCCCCCCGACACTTGTGCTTCGAACCGGTCCATGACCTCGTTCTTTCTAAGGTCCGCTGATGGGTCTTTCTTGATGTCGATGCTGTCCACCGACACCACCAGGTTCGCCTTCTTGCCCTCCTCAACGAGCGCGGCCGCTAAGCGATCATCCGGACCGCTGAAGAGGTGAAGGAACTTGAACGTTCTCTTCTCCCTGAACTTCCCAAAGTCCTGAGCTTCACCTAGGGCGGCTTTGACACGATCAGGCCACATCGCATTCTTGGCCCCCTCTAGCACCGGTGTCTCCTGACTTGGCTCGACATCACGCCGGTCGCCCGCCCCACTAGCCCCGGCCTGCCCCTGGCCGATGCTGGCCGGTTCCGGAGAGCTATCCGATGACTCGGACAGGACCGACATTTTGATCCACTCGAATGGATCTACGTCAAGCACAAACACAAAATAAAGATTCCTCTGCTTTCTCCAAATAGCTTCAAACATGTGGATTCCCTTGCACTCTGATCGATGAAATAACGTCACAAACTCACAGTCAAAAGGCAATCCAAAGAGAAGATTCAACGAAAATTTTATTCACAAGAAGCACTAAATGAAAACACAAAAGGGTCCCCCAAATTGCACCTCTCCAACCGACGCATTCAGGATGTTTTTCACAGCTCCTACTTCGAGGTGCATTTCGCTTCCTGATGGCTCGGTGAAAGGCAGATCCTACATTTGTGGACCCTTTTCACTGAGCCCAAACATTCTGCGCCTGGGCTCAGGTGGCCGCACGGGCTATTACCCGCACTCCAAGCAAAGCACAATGGCTTCCCGCTCTGATCCTTCGTCTTGCCCTTTGACTGTCCCTTTCCACCCTGGTTACCCTTTGCCTCGTAGTTGGAGCCGCTTGCATGGCTTCCTTTCAGTCTCCTGAGTTCCTCTCTGTCTTCCACCAACCTTCTCTTCCTGGCTGCTCTTCTGTCCTTGTTTGCTTGAGTCTTTCTCTTGCCCTCGTCGCCTGTTGCCTCGACCATCAAGTCTGTTCCACCAGGTAGATGGGCATGAAGAGCTACTTCAGACGCCACTATCGGCTTCCCCCTGCTGCCAGAAGCCAACCAAGCAGCAGCTGGGTGATGCACGTTTTCCGCCCAGTACTCCACGTCCTGAATCGCCATGTCAATCACCGCTGTCCATGGCCTCGCAGGGTCCCAATTGATGGGTATCTGCCTTCCCAGAGTGGATGACGTCAACACCCTTCGCCTCAGACGTTCAAATCCTTCGGCTCTCATCTTGTCATCTGCTTGAGCTATCAAACCCCAGCACATAGGCCATTGCGTTGTCAGCCTCTCCACAAACCTCTCGTAGTTGGTGAGAGAGGCCAATGTGCAGATGTTCAACATCAGTGCGGCTGACTTGAACACCCTCCAGCAGCCCAGCCATGCCTGGAATGTGCTCGGCCCCGGTAACTCCTTGGTGAGGTAGGAACCGTCGCCCAGGGGGAACACAGTGCGAAATTTCTGGTTCTTCATCGTCCTCCTTGCAAAAGGGGTCCACACGCTGAAGTCCGTGTAGGGTGCACAGTCGTGGATCACCGTGCGCTTTGCCAACGCTGCCAGTTGGGCTGAAGTGGGTTCTTCAGCAGGATCAGGTAGAGACCCCATGATGGTGACATAGGCTTGGGTCCACGCGTTGACCTGCTCGTTTGTTGGAGGAAGCAACTCCGACTCATCCTGCGCGTCCAGCAACGTTGACATCTTCAAAACTCTCTCCTTGATCGGAGATGATTGCACCGTGCTGGATGATCCCCCTGCTTGCCCTGGTTGAACGTTACCTCCCGTCTGCTGTCCTGAGAGTTGTGGTTCTTCCCATGGGTCAATGTCGACAAACTGGTGCTCTCCCATGCCAGATCGAGCTGCTACAACTTTACGACATAGGCGCCACACCAACCCCACCTGAGTAGCCTGGAGGGGCAACAACGGGCTCCCATCTTCGAACTGCGCCTGCCCACAAGCGGAAACCACGGCCACGCGAGGTAAGGCTGCAAACAGCCTCATGTCATTGGCCGGGTCTCCCACCTGGGCTGTGAAGGCTTCCCAAACGATGCGACCCAGGCCCAGGTGGTCCTTTATCTGCTCAAGGTCTGCAAAGGCTTGTGCCTCTGCCCATGTCCCGAAAAGGCTCATCGCGCCCCTGACATCTAGCCCTACTTTAAACGGGGGTGTCAGGGGCCACCCTCTTCATTCAAAAACCTTGTAGCCAAAATGGCCAACGTATCATATGTGGTCAGCTGCCCCTTCCTGCTTATCACTCTTTGGAGTTCCCAAAAACCAAATCGTAAGAGCAGGGCTGGCCAGACTGGACAAGCCCATTGCAGCAACCAACCGAGAATCGTGCAACAAGGCACCCGTGGTGGGGTAAGAACCAGGTAACCAGGTAACGCTGACAGCTTCACCATGCTAATGATCTACAGGGGGCCATTATAACAGGAAGCATGGGGTAAGCTACCATACAATCTGGTGAACCACCACGAAAATACAAAATATTTGAAAATACCATGTCTGCTAGAGGTCCAGCAACCCCAGTCAACATGGCTGTGGCTTGCCAGTGGTCCTAGCTATTTAGATGGTCCCTTACCATGTATACCAACTATTGCCATTGCTAAGTGGGACTCCCACAGTGGATGGATGAATGTGTACATATCCCGTAGACACAACGTCCATTTCCACCCCTGGCAGGGCGTACTGCCAGCATCTGCTTCTGTGCATGAGCTTTTTCAGCGCCCTGTGCAGTTGTGCAGCGAACTGAAAGGGACGTCAACAAATATGAGGATGTAAAGTGTGTGAATGAGAATGATAAGGAAGTATAACAACGGTAAGTATGTATATATAATATATATATATGTGTGTGTGTAATCAAAGTAATCATAACCAATCATATAAGAGAATATAAACAATGACAATAAGAACGATAGTGAGGAGGATAAGGTTTATGATTACCATTATCATCACCCTGACGATGATGATAGTGGTAAAGTATATATTTTCCCATACTCCGTCAACAATGGAGGGTTGGAAGCATGGTGAACCGGCCCGATAGCCATCCAATTGGCATCTTCCTAGCAGTGGCAGTTGGGAATTTGCAGCCACTTTTTGATGGAATCGCTGGTATACATGGTCGATCAACATGACTATCAGATTTACATTTTTTTACAAACATCTGATCTTCACCAGGTGTGTTGCTCAAATCACCTTGACTGGAAAAACCTACGCTTCGTTCCATGAAAGGCACCACTGGAACCTCCATACCGATTTCACTGGCAGTGTTGCCAGCCGGATTCCCTGTGTTGGCTCCAGTAAATAGCAATACTTTGATTGATTATATCTTCATTTTGAGCATCATTTACGTACAACCACTCAAAACCATGTATACGTTTATGTATTATACATAAATATGGATGTATCATGTATGTGTAGTATATAGTTGCTTAATCTGTTTATATACTTATGTATATTATATATATATATGTATATCATGTTGCTATATTGCTATAGGTACATCCACGTATCTTGCTGATGTAAGTCCTGTTTTGTTGCCGCACCCGGTCCCCTGCATCTCCAGCAACGAGTTACCGCAACATCGAGCGACTCGCCTCGAGATGCCGGAAGGGCGCCATGCCTCAGAGGCCACGGCACGAATCAAATTGGGGTGTCCTCCATTCTGTTTGCAAATTTGCTAATGAAAAATAACTATATATATACATAATGAAAAATAACTATATATAACTATATATAACTATATATAACTATATATAACTATATATAACTATATATAACTATATATAACTATATATAACTATATATGATTATATATAATTATATATAATAATTTATAATTAGATATATATCTTGCTAGGGGGCTGACGTTTGCCCAAAATCCACGGAATTCCATGCGGGACTGCAGTCTGCTGTGTTCTTTGGAAGTTTTTTTTGCAAACACGTACAAAATATTGATATGTTCTGCGTCTCATGTTTTTTGTGCGATTAAGATTACCTAAAAAAATGGTGCCAAAATCACCCTTTGAAACATGTCATAAAGATATCCTCCGTAATTTGCAGTGTCTCGAGCCGTTAACAAAAACCTAGTCATCCAGAAATAACCCTAAATAGACTGTAAAGTAATCTTGAATAAACCCTAAAGAAACCTTGAATAAGCTCAAAAACAACCCTAAATAGAACGAAATTAATGTTTGCACCCGATTAGTGTCCTGGTACCCTATTGTGAGAAATTCCTTGCTCCTAATTCAGTCACATGCAAATTGTTGGGGGGGAACTCTATTGTGGAATTTTTTTCCAGGTGAGATTGTTTCCAGATTTTTTTTCATTTTCTTTTTCCAAATGCTTTAACTTTTTTTAAAAAAAAAAACTAATTATTTATGTTTATTAGACTTTTAATTTTATAATTAGATGCCTTATTAAACCCTTATTAAAAAAACAGCATCCAGACAATTTTTCAAAGGGGTACCTCATGAGTGGCTCAGTTACTGAATAATATAATTGTTTGGATGGTACTCTATTGTGAGCACCAACTTTTTGGAGTGAAAACAAAAAAACGAAACCCTTTCTCCACCTTTCTTTGGGTAAAGCTGGTCCTTTCACTTTAGAAAGCCATAGTTGTGATAAAACTTTAAAATGCAAGGCTTTCCAAATAATTAGATGCCTTATTAAACCCTTATTAAAAAACAGCATCCAGACAATTTTTCAAGGGTGTACCTCATGAGTGGCTCAGTTACTCAATAATATAATTGTTTGGATGGTACTCTATTGTGAGCACCAACTTTTGGGAGTGAAAAAAAAAAGCAAAACCCTTTCTCCACCTTTCTTTGGGTAAAGCTGGCCCCTTTACTGTAGAAAGCCATAGTTGTGTTAAAACTTTAAAATGCAAGGCTTTCCAAATAATTAGATGCCTTATTAAACCCTTATTAAAAAACAGCATCCAGACAATTTTTCAAAGGGGTACCTCATGAGTGGCTCAGTTACTGAATAATATAATTGTTTGGATGGTACTCTATTGTGAGCACCAACTTTTGGGAGTGAAAAAAAAAAGCAAAACCCTTTCTCCACCTTTCTTTGGGTAAAGCTGGTCCTTTCACTTTAGAAAGCCATAGTTGTGATAAAACTTTAAAATGCAAGGTTTCCCAAATAATTAGATGCCTTATTAAACCCTTATTAAAAAACAGCATCCAGACAATTTTTCAAGGGTATACCTCATGAGTGGCTCAGTTACTGAATAATATAATTGTTTGGATGGTACTCTATTGTGAGCACCAACTTTTGGGAGTGAAAAAAAAAAGCAAAACCCTTTCTCCACCTTTCTTTGGGTAAAGCTGGTCCCTTTACTTTAGAAAGCCATATTTGTGTTAAAAC